CATGCTCACGGCCACTGCATCTTCAACCTGCTTGGCTTCCACCTCAGTCTTCCAAGTAGCTGGAACTACAGGCACACGCCACCACACCCAGCTACTTTTTAAATTTATTTTAGAGATGAGGTCTCACCAAGTTGCCCAGGCTGGTCTCGAACCCATGGGCTCAGGCAATTCTCTCACCTCGGCCTCCCAAAGTTCTGGGATTCTAGGCATGAGCCACCACACCCAACCTGACCCCATAGTAAACCCTCTTATGTGTCCATTGGCAACACTAAGAGCTAGGTACTGCTCTTGTTCCCCAGTTCACAGATGAGGACACTGGGGCACAGGGAGGAGACTTTGCTCAAGGTTTTACATTCAAGGTTGAGCTCAAGTAGTCTGACTCCAGAGCTTGAGTTCTTAGCTCCTCTCCTCATCTGTCTGTATTCTTAAGGCTCACCTCAAATACCACCCCCTGCATGGAGCCCTCCCTAGCTCTCAACCGCCTACAGGCATCTGACCTCTGGCTCTCATAGCATCCAGGATACACGCCTGGCATTCCTCTTGCCACACTGGTTATGATAATTGGCTTACCTTGCCCATCTTTTCATGTAAGTCGTGAACTCAAGGTCAAGGGCTCAGCTTTTCATTTCTGTGTCCCCAGCTCCCAGCACCTAAGTACATACTCAATAAATGCCTGATGGATGAAGGATGGAATTGACGATGGACTCTTACACAATCCCCACCTTGCCTTCTCCGCCCCATGGTTTGGCCTCTTTCTCTGTACTCTAGGTACTTTCTTCCTGCCAGGCCCTTCTCTTCCCAGGACCATCACAACAGCTGCCACAGGGGATCCCCTGCCCTGCCTGCTGTTCTCTCACTCCGGCCCTCCTATGCTGCCCCATCCACCCACAAAATGGGTCACAGCCCTGTAATCCCACGACTTTGGGAGGCTGAGGTGAGTGGATTGCCTGAGCCCACAGGTTCGAGACCCGCCTGGGCAGGCGAAACCTCATCTCTACAATAAAATCAAAAACTTAGCCAGGCGTGGTAGTGCGCACCTGTAATTCCGGCTACTCGGAAGGCTGAGGCGGAAGGATCGCCGGAGCCCAGCAGGTCAAGGCTGCGGTGGCCGGGAGTGGCCACTGCACTCCAGTCTGGGCAACAGAGTGAGACTCCAACTCAAAAAAATAAAAAATAAAAAATAAATTTAAAAAAAAAAATGGGTCACAGCTGGGAATGTCCCCTCCATCCACCTGCCGCAGACTCACCTCGAGTGGTGGGCTCGTCATGAGGACAGGTTCCTGGGCCCAGCCCCATCCCACTGAGCCAGCATCTCTGAGAATTCAAGTCCTCAATGAGGTTGAGAGCCACTGGTCTCTGGAATAATTTTACCTGGCATTCAAGGCCTCCATAACCTGCCCCCCAACCTCCCTCTCCATCTTTCCCATTAGCCCTAAAGGATTCCTGCCAGTTGTCCCCCATTGTCCCTGGAAACTACCTAGAACATCCCCCACACCAAGTCTCTGGTACACTCTGTTCTCCCCTCATGCCCGGAGCCTATCCCCAACCTCTGGCCCTCTCCTTACTTCATCTTATCTAAACCACGCCCATCTTCAAGGTGCAGCCCAAATGCTACCTTCTCGGGCAGCGTTCCCTGCCCAGGTCCACAGTGCCCTCTTCCCCACCCACTGGCTCCGCAGCACTGACTACCTGTGCTGCCTGTTTGCACAGAGCAGTGCCTGTCTGCAGGTTGTGAGTACCTGGAGGGCAGAACCCGTTCCCAAATTCCTCCAGCTCACCCCCATCCTATATGCCTAGTTCCTCACTGGGTCCAAAGCACAGTGTCCAGTTTAACTGACAGGTCATCCAGGCTATGCAGGATCAGACACAGCAAGCCACACTCTAGACAAGCCGGAGTTTTCCTCAGAGGCAACACCTTCTCTAAAAGCCTTCACTGACACGAGGAACAAGTAACTCAAAATGAGAAAGGAAACAGGGTGTGGAGAGGATGACTGTGGCAAAATGGACCACACTCCAACGGTCAAAGTCAAGACCCAGCTCTGTGCCCCTCTGTGATCTCAACAGGGCACTTATCCTGATTCTGGTTTTCACATCGTCTCCATCTCTGCAGGACAAGAAGATCCTCTGACTTGCAGAGTTTACGTGAACCCAGATGCATAACCCATCTAGGAAACTTTCACCTATTGAACAGACATTGACTAAACATCCATAATGTGCCAAGCACTGAGGGCTACACAGAAATGAATGCAGAACTGTGTGAGCTAAACAGTCTGTAAAGACAAGAAAACTGTTATCAACAGCGCACTGAGGATGATGTGGGAGGAGTGGGCACATGTGGGAGCTCAGAAGGGGTCTCTCACCTGCCTGCAGTTAGGAAGTCATGAAGAACCACCCCGCTGACTGCACAGCTGTGCCAAGTTCAGAAGAATAAGGGAGGCAGCACACCTGGGGCAGGAGGTGGGGGCAGAGCAGGGGGAGGACCCTATAACACAGGGAAGTGTGAGATCAGTAGTTCCGTGAAGGCATTCTGGCTTGGGATGGCCACAGGGCGGAATGGATGTGGGCGACCAGCCTCGAGAAGCAGGCTGACACTTGGCTTAGAAGGGCCTCGCCTGCCTTCTCAGGAGTTCAGTCTTCATCCTGAGGGTGCTGGGAGGCCACGAAAGACACTTAGCAGAGGAGAAGTGACTTGATCAGAACTGCAGTTTAGAGGGCTCTCTGTGGCTACAGACAGCAGCAGACAGGCTTGGATGCCCGGAAGCCAGCGGGAGGCTGTGGCTTGTGCGGGGGCGCCAGGCATTAGCCAACCATGTGCACATGAAAGAGACTGACTTACAGGAATCCGCTCCTGAAAGCCCAGCTTGGCCCGGGGCCAACTTCCACTTTATTCTGGATGTTTTCACTTTCAGGGCATCTTGTTCTGAGTCAAGATTCCTCCTTCTGGACATGGGACTTTCCAGAAGGACAGCAGCTCCTTCCGTGTATCCCCGTGGCTGGGGATATTCTGAGTTTTGGTTGTCAGGGGAGTTCACCTGCTTCTCTGGGGAAGGATGGTCATGAGATCCCTGTGGAGTCTGCTTCTCTGGAAAGGTAAGTGGGGCCCGAAGATAGCCTCAGCGAGCTGAAGGTCCCGCCCTAGCTACCCTCACCAGATGTCTGGGCCTCCTCAACCGAGGGAGAACCCAGAAGTTGGGGACGGGGAAGACTGAAGAAAGTCCTTGGGCGGCATTCAAAGCCAGGTAGATATAAAGAGATGTCAGGTCCTGAGGGGCGGAGGCAGCAGCATGAAGAACATCCTTGTCCATGAGGCAGGAGCTCTTTGTGGCCCAGGGCAGTCGGAACTGAGCCAGTGACACCACTGGCTGGGAGAGAAGGCTGGATGTGAGAATGATGAGGATCTGGCAGTGTTAATATGTGGAAATTCTACCTACAGTCTAGAAGAGACATAGAAGAGAGGGAGAGCAAGGTTCCTGGCAGCCTGAAGAGTGTTGTTGTTTTTTTTAAGAGACTTAGTCTCCCTATATTGCCTAAGCTGGTCTCAAACTCCTGGGTTCAAACAATCCTCTCACCTCAGCCTTCCAAAACACTGAGATTGCAGGCGTGAGCCACTGTGCCCAGCCCAGAGGAATATGTTTGTTTTTTCTTTATTTTAAAATTGTGGGGTACAATTCAGGGTTAGGTATACGAATGTTCATTATGCAGGTACCCTTGTTGATGAGGTGTGCCCCCTCTTCCCCAGGCAAATATCAACTACTGTCAATCTCACCTCTCTGTCTCCCCACCCCCGCGGTTTCCCACTACTGTCAATCCTTTTCTTATAGTATTATGGTGGTTGTTCAAGGTTCACTTATGAGTGAGAACAAGTGATACTCAGATCTTTGTTTCTGGGAAAGATCACTCAGTATTATAAACTCTAATTCCATCCAGGTTGCAGCGAAGTTCATGATTTCGCTCTTCTTTATGGCTGCGTAATATTCCATTGTGCATATGTACAACATTTTTTTTAATCTGTCCTCTTTTGATAGGCAGCACAGTTGGTTCCATGATCTTGCTATCGCGAACAACGCTGCGATAAACATATGTGTGCAGGAATCTTTAATAGAGTGATTTGAGATCTCCGGGTATATTCCCAGTAGGGGGATTGCGGGGTCATATGGAAGGTCGATTTTTAAAACTTTTAGGAATCGCCACACTGATTTCCACAGAGGTTGTACGAGTTTACACTCTCATCAACAGTGTAGAAGTGTTCCCTTTTCGCCATATCCTCTCCAGCATCTGTTATTTTTTGAGCTATTGATGGTGGCAGGAATGTATTTTTAATGACCTATATGAGAGAAGGTGGATAATGAGTAGGGATGAGAAGCAGGAGCAGGCTAAGCACAGTCCATGTAGACTTGAAGGTGGCCAACAATGGTGTGATGTTGGAATGCTGACACGTGGGGTTCCCTCCACACTGGGCGATCCCTCCTTCAGTTTGATGCCTGAGATCCCATCCTTGGTCAACAAGTAGCCAATGTGATGTGGGTCAGCACCCCCGGCCAAGGATGGTGGTGGGGGTGTGTGCCATGTGGCAAAGACAAAGACACTATTGTTTACATTAGAGATGCCTAGGGACTTTGGGCTGCTTTGTCCCGTGTCCTTGCCTGGGTTCCTGGTCCTGGGAACTCCAAAGGCCCTGCAGACTTCAACATTGCTAAATACACTCAAATAACCTCAAGCTGTTTGGCCTACAAAGTCTTTCAAATCATTAGACATGTGAGGCAAATTATATAAATATAAATAGTATATGCGCGTGTGTATGTGTGTGCATTTGTAGAATATAAACTGGCCTTAAGCAATCTTCCCACCTCAACCTCCCAAAGTGGCAGAATTACAGGCATAAGCCCCCATGCTTGGCCCCCAAAATAACTTTTTTTTTTAGTTTGAGTATCACCCTGTCACCCAGGCTGGAGTGCAGTGGCATGTTCACAGCCACTGCAGCCTCAACCTGCTGGGCTCAGAGCTTCAGCCTCAGTCTTCCAAGTAACTGAAACTACAGGTGTGCACTACCATGCCCAGCTAATTTTTTTATTTATTGTGGAGACAAGGTCTTGCCAATTTGCTCAGACTGGTCTCAAACCCCTGAGTGCAGGCAATCTTCTGGCCTTAGCCTCCCAAAGTGCCAGGATTACAGACTTGTGCCTGGCAAAAATAACTTTTTAAAGGGCTCTTAAAGATAAAAGAGATTGGCGCGATCGACCTGGCACAGCCCTCCTTATTTACAGGTGAGACCACTGAAGCCTGGAAAGAGAAGGTGATATGCCAACGGTCATTCTGATAATTTGTGCCAACACTGGGAAGGGTTGAAGCTAGGTTTTAGTTGACACCCCATGCCATTCTCTCTGTGTGCTATTTCTCCACACTGTTATTCCTCCACTCTGACACTGCAGCCGTCTCTAGTCAGGAGGGAGGTAGTTGGGCTACGGAAGGCAGTGAGGCAGAGGAGGGAGTGGAATCATCATGGCTGACTGAGTGACCCTGCAGACCCGTCTCGCCGACCAAAACCCAGCACCTGGGCATGCCACACATCAGCCCTTATTGTGCTCTGCACCCAGTGCCTCCCACTGTGCCAGGCACAGGGTCCACCCTCAGCAAGTGCAGTCATTCGTTCAGTACACCTTACCGGGCTTCTCAAAAGTCCAGTCCAAAGTGGTGGACGCTGGGAGTACAAAGACGGAGGGAAAGCGTGGTCGCCCCTGAGGAGCTTACGGGCTAGTGAGAGAGGCTGACTCATAGACAGGCATTAGCAATGGAGGGATAAGGGCAGTCACAGGGGTGATTCCAGGCTGCTGTGGAACACCAAGAAGAGGAGATAAGTAGCTACAGCGAGGGGCAGGGAGGACAGAGGAGGCAGTGATGCCCCAGGAATGAGCAGAAATTAGTCAGCAAAGGAATCCGAGGGGCACCTCAAGCAGAGGTGTCTGCCACACACCTCTAACTCCAATACGATCCCCAAAGCCTGAGCATCTTCACACACACACACACACACACACACACACACACACACACACACACACACACACACACAAACAACATGCCCACTGTCTGTTTCTCCACCCATTTGGGATCACAGAGAATGGCATCCACTAGATCCCAAGGACCCGGGAGCGTTCTCCACTCCTTTTCTCCTCCATTCCTCAGAGCTAATCTCTTACCAGTCCTGACGACCCCATCTCAGTCTCTCTCACTTCCTCCCGCTTCTCCCCTCCCCAGCTGTTCCTTCCTCAATTCAAGTTTCCATCACTTCTCCCTTGGATTAATAGAACAGCCGAGTCTTGCCCCCGCTTCAGCGCATTCTCCATCTCTCTGTGGGAGTGATCTTCCTAACTGTGCAGCTAAGCCTGTTACTCTCCTGCTTAAGGCCCACCTGAGACCCTCCATGGCTCTGCAGATACAGCCCAAACTCCAGTGTTACTTTCAGGGCTCCGCATGACCCTGGTCCCGCCAGCTCTCCGTGTCATGTCCTACTTCCCCTACAGACCGCAGCTTTCAGTTCCCCAATCCCCAGGCTCTCTCCCTGGGCCTTTGCAAGTGCTGTTCCCTCTGCCTGTGACACTTCCCTGCCCCATGCCAGGCAGCCCTCAGCTTGGCCTGGCTGACTCTCCTTACTCCTCCTGATTGCAGCTTGTCCATTTCTTCTCCGAGCCCATCAAGGTCAGATGAGTTCCCCTGTCCCCGTACCTGCGTTCTTCCAGGGCACCTCATTCTTCCCTTCATGATACTTAATTTTATTGTAATGGCTTGCTTGAGTGTCTGGCTTCCTCTGTGAGCTCCACGAACGCAGACACTGATTCTCTTCCTCACAGCTTTATCCTCCAGTTCCTGGCATGGTGCCCTCTCAACTTGAGTGGAGGGAGTGTGGGTGGAGGGGCCCTGATGTGCCCCACAGCAGCTCAGCTGTGTGCAGGAACGTGCCAAGGAGCCCGGGGCAGGCGGAGTAATGGGGCTCTGTTCTTTCAGCGCTACTTCCTGCTGTAGCGGCTGGGGCCCAAGTGCTCAGCAAGGTGGGAGGCTCAGTACTGCTGATGGCAGAGCATTCCCCTGGCTTCCACGTCCGTGAGGCCATCTGGCTATCTCTCTGGCCTTCGGAAGAGCTCCTGGCCACGTTTTTCCGGGGCTCCCTGGAGACTCTGTACCACTCCCGCTTCCTGGGCCGAGTCCAGCTGCACAGCAACCTCAGCCTGGAGCTCGGGCCTCTGGAGACTGGAGACAGCGGCAACTTCTCCGTGCTGATGGTGGACACTGAGGGTCGGGCCCGGACCCAGACCCTACAACTCAAAGTGTACGGTAAGTGCGCCTGGCACTGCTGCCTGACCCCTCCTCCCACAAAGCACCAGAAAGGCAGTCTGAGCTGTGGGTGCTGGGGAGAGCTGGGTTCCCAAAACCTCTGGTCTCTGACATGTTGCTAACTCAGGGAACAGCTGCTCCTGGCAATCTCATCTAAGAAAACTCAGTTTTCAGCTGTCCTTGGGTGAGCCGCTCAGGGTGCCGATGCAATTAGACAGTGCCCTTCTGGCTGCACACGGCTTCCAGCCAGGGCACACATCCTGGCAAGCAGGGCCTGGCTGGATTTCAGCACCCCACCACCACCCCATTACCACTCCGACCCAATGCCCAATGCAGTGAATAACTCTCAGGCGAGCTCCTCTCTGGAGCAGACAGATGGCTATTTCACAGTCTTTATCTGAACCCCAGCTCTGTCTTTTCTTGACCTTGGACACAATGCTTAGCCTCCCTACCTTCACCTTTCTCATCTGTAAAATAGGCATGCATTTACCATGCTGTGTACCCACAGGGCCAAAGTGCAGTGGCGTGTCCAGAAGCACTCAGAACAGAGCTGGGCCTGCGCTCCATCAGTCCTGAGGTCATCATAGGTCACAAGATGTGCCATTGGCTTATGTACCACTAAAAAAAATAAAGTTGCAAATTAAACCAAGGCACAGTAGGTTTTTATTTAAAATTAAGTTATAATTAAAAGTATAGCATTTTTATATTTTTTAAAGGAGCTCTTGACCGGGCTCGTTGGCTCAGCCTGTAATCCCAGCACTTTGGGAGGCCAAGGCGAGTGGATTGCCTGAGCCCATGGATTCGAGACCAGCCTGGGCAACTTGGCAAGGCCTCGTCTCTACGATAAATCAAAAATTAGCTGGGTGTGGTAGCGCGCATCTGTAGTTCTGACTACTTAGAAGGCTGAGGCAGAAGGATCGCCAGAGCCCAGCAGGTCGATGCTGAGGTGCCCGTGAGTGTGCCACTGCCCTCCAGCCTGGGTGACAGAGTGAGAGTCCAACTCAAAAGAAAATTAATAAATAAAGGAGCTCTTTTAGACAGATTCTAACTATATATATCATTCATGAGTTATCTCAGTCATTCGTCACTGCAAAACGAACCACCCCAAAACTTTCTGACTAAAAACAACTATTTTTTGTCTTACGATGTTGTGGGTGGCAGACCCAGCTGGGTGGACCTTCTGCTCCTCGAGCATCTGCAGGGCCTTTGTGCCACTGCACCCAGCACCTCAGCTGGGACAGCTGCATGGATGGGGGCTTAGAGGGCCTTCTTCCCAACAACTCCACCCCGCCTCCAGCACCTCCGTCATACTTCTGCTGGTCAAGAAAGAATGGCCTCTCTGCTCTCATTTATCTACCTAATGGCTGGGGAAAGAGAGGTGACCCCAAACCACTGCTTCAGTGAAACCTTCGAAATTTTTATACGCGGACTGGAGAGGAGAGTTCAAATGTAAGAGTAGAAAGTAGGGGTAGCAGCTGGGAAGAGAACAAAATTGAGGGACAGAAAGTAAATTGGGTGTCCCGAGCCCCCAGAGACAGCTGACTGGCTGGGTGAGCTGCTTGGTGCCGAGGCAGCTAGACTGTGCCCTTTTGGCTGTATGCAGCCTCTGGCCAAGACATGCATGCTGGTAAGCAGGGCGCTGACTGGCCCAGGTGTTGAGCACCCCACCTGTTACCCCCCGACCCACTTAGCCCAGAAACCTCTGGTCTCTGACATGTCCTTGTGCAGTGAGTAACCTGCACTGCCATACAGGCAGCCCGAGCCTCTCCCCAGATCTGAGTCCCAGCTGCTGCACATGTGAAATGAGGACATTGAATGTGATAATACATGCAGCACCCACACCACTAAGCTCTGAAATGCCTTGTTCTCAGCATCTGAATTACAGATTTTAAGGAAATTGCTGTTTTATTGCTTCCAAATACATAGTGTGATTAGAACTAATTGCACGAGGCTGCCAAGCAGCGGTCCTTAGGAGCTCTGCTTTGACAATAGATAAGAATGATTTGAATTAGCAGATCAGTTACTAGAAATGTCAATGGGTGTTTCTACTGTGCCTGATCCGTGTTTGGAAGCAGCTTGTCCTCTTAAGTGGTGTAAATATCCCCCCTGTAATCTTTGTTTATACTATTAGTGGGCCCAGCAAATCATTTCTTTTTTTCATATCACAAATCCCACCAGATTGAGCTGGCATTAACGAGGTTTCTCTGCTTGAGTTTGGAATGCTGTCAGAGACTAAGCCCTCCTGTTGTCCCCAGAATGCTCTCCCGCTGGCCCCATTGCTATAGAGCCTCGGGATTGACTCATCAAACCACGTAGGACACCAGTTTGTTCAGTAGCCCAGGTGTTGAGCACCTACAGTTTGCAGGCACTAGAGAGCAGAGGTTATCACGCTGACAAGACAGAGCTCTCCCTCTGGGCCCCTCCTTCACAGCCTGTTGCACTCTCATAATGTTTTCCTTAATTATTCCCCATCGCTTGTCGGTATTTGTCTTGCTCACCAAACTGTAAACTCCAAGAGGCCAGGAATATGTCTGTGTTCTTGCCTGACTTCATAAATGCCAATCATCTGTTGTTGACTGACTACCTAAAGGCATAGACAGAGTGCTTGGAGAGCTCAGAGTCATACCTGGAATATCAGGGAAGGTGTCACAGTCGAGGCATTAAGCAGCGTGCCCAAGCTGGGCCTTGAAGGATGGGTAGGAGTTTTTACAGGAAGACAAGGAGGGACAGGCATCTATCTATGTGCACAGATGTGCCACGTGAAAACATGACAGAGATGCAGGGGCATGACATGTTTGGGAGAACTGAAAATCAGTGAGCATGAGTGACAGGAGTAGCAGGAGGTACAGCTGCAGAGGCTGATGTGGATCCTTTCCTGAAGGTTGTTTTTTGTTTGCTTGTTTTGATTTGGAGTCTCTATCACCCAGGCTGAAGTGTAATGGCACAATCATGGCTTACTGAAGCCTTGACCTGCTGGGCTTGGGTGATCCTTCTGCCTCAGCCTCCAAGTAGCTGAAAGGAACCATAGGCACTCACCATCACACCTGGCTAACTTTTTTATTTATCATAGAGATGAGGTCTCGCCAAGTCGCTCAGGCAGGTCTCGAACCCCTGGGTTTAGGTAATCCTCTTGCCTCCGCCTCCCAAAGGGATTATAGGCTTGAGCCACCACGCCTGGCTGCTGAAGGGTTTTGAAGACCAGGCTGAAGCATTCAGCTTCTGTCCTGTGGGCAAGGTTTGGAACAGGAGAAATCCCGTCAGGGCTGCATTCAGCCCCAGGAGGATCCCAGAACCAGAGGCGCGGGCCCTGCCCAGCATCCCTGGGACCCACGCCTGCTCTCCCACTCTTGCCCAGATGCAGTGCCCAGACCTGTGGTGCAAGTGTTCATCGCTGCAGCAGGGGTTGCTCAGTCCCCCAAGACCTGCCAGGTCTTCTTGTCCTGCTGGGCCCCCAACATCAGCGACATTACATACAGCTGGCGACGGCAGGGGACCGTGGACCTTGGTGCGGAACCACACAGCCTCTTCACAGATGGACAGGTGCTAAGCGTTTCACTGGGACCGGGAGACAAAAGTGTGTCCTATTCCTGCATTGTCTCCAACCCTGTCAGCTGGGACTTGGCCACTGTCACCCCCTGGGAGAGTTGCAGTCATGAGGCAGGTATGCCAAAGGCCAGTGGTCAATGGTTGAGGGGTAGTGATGCTTCAAGTCCACCTCTGACCCCACCCCTCCATGTTCAGCACCAGGGAAGACGTCCTACAAAGACATGCTGCTGGTGGTGGTGCCCCTCTCGCTGCTCCTGACCCTGGTTGGTCTTTTCTCTGCCTGGCACTGGGGCCCCTGCTCAGGTAGGAGTCCTGCAGGTGCAGGAGGTAGGTGGAGGAGGTGGATTTACTGGGGGTGGGTGTGGGACCGCCTCCTATTTAAGCTGCAGATGGTCTGTCCCTCCTTACCTCTCCCACGCATTTCCTGGCCTTCTCCATCTCGCGTCTTGGTCTCCAACCAGACTGAACTACTTGAAGTTTTCTTTGCCTTTTTCCAAATGAACTCCTCGCTCACTCCCACCTTCAGACCTTTGTATATTCCCTCTGCCTGGGTCACACTGTCCATGATTTCCCACCCAGCTTCCCTCCCTCATTAGGCTGTCTCCTACTCAATCTTCAAGGTGTGCTTGCTCCAGGAAGCCTTCCCTGAGCTTCTCCCCACCTCCAGGCTGGTTAACGTCCTTCCTTTAGTCTCCATTGCTCACCTCAATCACAGAACTAACTATACTTACTCCCCCTACTGAATTCTGTGTTCTTTAAAAGCAGAGGTTGGGTCTGTGGGGCCTAGAACATGGTGATTCCTGGAACACAGCTAGTATCAATAAATATCATGAAGTGAAGGCTTAGCTGAACCCCAGCCCCTTCTTCCTACCACACCTGGGCAGTGACTCCCTGACAGAGGCCAATGACTAACAGGGCCACCTTTGTGAGGAGGGAAAGGGAAACCCCAAGGTCAGAGCAGGTTCCCAGCTCTGCATCCAGTTCTGCCCCCACCTCTGCCACCAGATGTCCTGCCCCTGAGAGAATGACCCAGATGACCTGGGCTCCCATTTCCATCCCAGTCTGTCTGAGCTGGCTGGTCCCAGAAAAGACAGAGTGGATCAGCAAAGAGGAAGCACTGAGGGCCAGGCACGGTAGCTCACACTGTAATCCCAGCACTTTGGGAAGCAGAGGCCAGAGGATTGCCTGAACCCAGGGGTTCGAGACCAGCCTGGGTAACTTGGAGAGGCCTCGTCTCTACAATAAGTCAAAAAATTGACTGGGCATGGTGGCATGTGCCTGTGGTTCCAGCTACTTGAAAGACTGAGGCAGAAGGATCGCCTGAGCCCAGTCGGTTGAGGCTACGGTAGCCATGAGCATGCCACTGTACTCCAGCCAGGCGACAGAGTGAGACTCCAACTCAAAAAAAAAGGAGGAGGCACTGAGACCTCATTATATTGGGTGAGTCTTAGAAGGTAGAGTCTTGGCCCAGCCAGGAAGCATGGGGGTTTATTCTTTCCAGCAGGAGGAAGGAAAGAGGGAGCAGCTGAGGCTGCTCCACCTGGAGGCCCTGTCTCTTATGGGGAGAGTCTGGCCCTGGCCCTTTGCCCCAGAGAGTTCCCAGGATTTGTGATAGGCAGTCGGACATCATGAAAAGAGTGGTGTAAAAATAGCTTTATTGAGGTATGGTTCACATAGCATCCAATTCACCTATGAAGTGCACAGTTCCATGAATAGTATATTCAGAGTTGTACAACCATCGCCACAATTTCAGAACATTCCCATTAAACCCACGAAAAGCCCATAACTCCTTAGCCACCACTCCAATTCCCCCATTACTCCCGCAGCCCCAGGCAAGCACTCACCTACTTTCTGCCTCTATAGTGTTGTCTGTTCTGGACATTCCATATCAGTGGACCCATATACGTGTGGTCCTTTGTGACTGGCTTCTCTCACTTAGCCTAATGCTTTCAAGGCTCAGAAAATAACTTTGGCCACTAAGAAGGGATGGAGAGGACCCAACCACACCTGGAATAGTGGAAGGACTCCACACAGGGCATCCAGAGGTTGGTGCTGGCTGTGCCATGTCATTTAGCTTCTGGTCATTTAGCTGAGTCTACCACAGCCCTAACTTTCTATACCTTCTACAGCTAAATGTATGACTTAGTTGCAGATCAGGGTTAGACATTAGGAAGAACTTCCTGTTTTCAAGAAGTCTCCCTTTCAAGGTCTTGGAAAACCAGGAGAAACTTTCCTATGCCTGAGATGATCTTGGGCTAGAACACTTGGGATTCAGAGGCCGGGGGCCAGGCCAAGGATGCCAAGATTCCAAATGTTGGAAGGGTAACTTTCTTTCTGATCTCCTCACCAGCAAAAAAGAAGAAAGACATCCGTGCTGACAGAGAGCCTCCAGAGACAGAGAGCCCCCTTGTGCAGGATCTGCCTTGAAGGACAATCCAAGCTGACACCTGAATCATCAGGGACCCCCCTGCCCAGGCATGCGATGCTGGGACATAGCTGGTACCTAGAAACACCCATGGTTCTCATACCTCACACAGGACTCCCGTCCTGCCTCCTAGGGAAGCAAAGCCCTGGCCAATGTGGAGTTTGGGTTCTAGGTAATATAAATAAACGAGTGTGTGTGTGGAGCAGCCTGGGCAGCTTTCACACAGGAAGGACAGAAAACACTGGCACAACCTTCTACACTGCCATTCTTTCTCTCCAGTTTGTATGTCCTGGCTCTGTTCTGGGCAAGATGGGCCACATAGAACATTCCCTCAAGTACACTGGAAGTTCTCCAGGATCCACAGAAACATGGATTGTCCAAAGCATCCCCTCCCCACTACTGTTCAGAAGGCACTCCCTAGCTAGCACCAAAGGATTGCAGACAACCTGGGTCCTGGGCTCTAAAAGACACTAGACATTTGAACTAACAGAGAAGCTCTGAATCACCCACCACCAGCTCCAACTCTAATTCCAGCCCCAGACCCTGCGGTCTGAGATCCTGATACTTATCATTTTAAAATGGTCTAGAAACAGGTAAAGGTGAAAGGTTGAGGGCAGGGGTTTCTCTTCCTAGCCTGAGGACTTTCAGGTCATCAGAATTCACAGCTCCTGAAAGGTAAATGGCAGTTGTAAACACCAAGGTTGGTTGTCATCCTGTGGCTGAGTTGGGCGCCATCTTGCAGGTAACGCATTATTAATAGACATCCTCCCCATCTCCAATGGCCCTCACACCTCCTGCAGGATCTGGTGTTGAGTGGAGATTCTCTCTTCACCCTCTAGCACCATGACCAGGAAAAGAGAAGTTGAATCTGCCCCAGCCTACAGCAAGTTCTTTCACAACTTCAAGAAAAGCAGCTCAGGTCAAGGAGAGTCTTTTAGCCTGAGACCGGGAGAGTGAAGAGCCATGAAAAGCTATGCAGGAGGAAAATTATGAGAAAGGGTGCCAGGGTATTCTAGAATCTACCACATTGATTTTCAGATGCAAATGCAGAAGATCCACCCAAGTTCAAGAGGAGGTGGCAAAGACTCCACTCAAGGGGAGCATTCTGAAGGTCACTCTTCCATGTAGGATGGAAGTTATTATTGTGGCCATCTTTGGAAAATACATTCTTCCCCTGAGTGATCTGACCTGGAAAAACTCTGGGTTATTGCCACTGGAAGAAACTTGGTGAGTTCAACTTACCCTCAGAGATTAGTAGCTGATAAGGTTCGATTACTCACCCTAGTATAACTGGGGTTTTTTCTGGAGCCTCACTTAAGTCTTGATAATAGAGAGGAAGGGGACATTGAAGAAACAAGGGCAGGTTTTAAAACTATTTGCCCACGGTGGCTTCAATCTCTCCACCTGGGATGTCAGTCCTGTCCCAGGGCCTGCCCTCTTCTCCCCAGAGGAAGAAGGCTTGAGTCTCCAGGTTCATGTGTCACCACTCCTCCACTTGACAGTTCCTAGGTTCTCCCTGCCTGTCTCTGCTCAGTGGTCCCCATTGGTCCCCTGGATTCGCCTAGTTGGCATCTCTTTCCTGCACTTTCATCATCACCTCCCAAGTCCACCTGAACAGTACACATGGCTGCTCAACATGGCACTGTGTGCTGTCCTCACCTGCCACCTAGAGGCATCCCTCACACCTGGTCACTGAATCTTGCAAAACTGCCCTCAGTTCATAAAAATGATGTGCAGAAGAAAGCCGGAGTCTAGCAGTGAGCCCAGGTGGTTCTGTGGGGACAAACACACACAGCTCCTCCCCATTCTTCCCTTCATGACCAGGGTCCCACCTCAGATCAGAGCAGCCTGGATGGGGTGAGGCCCACAGTTATTCCACAAGTGACTCCTGGCAACCTCATTTAGAAAGTGGTTTGTAGTGCGGTGCACGGGGCCTTTCTGGACAGATCCACCCTGCTCAAATAAACTCATGTTTCCATCCTCAATGACTCACTTGTCAACTAGTGGACTAATTAACCCGCCACCAGAAAACACAAAGTACTTCCGTGAGACCAATTTTTGTGCTAATAAACACTGAGACAGATGCTTTAAAATTCACACCACAACAAATATTGATGGAGGACTCAGCGTGAGCTGGGTACACTTCGAGGCACTGGGGAGTCAGTAGAGAAGCAAAGCCCTGGCCGATGTGGAGTTTGGGTTCTAGGTAATATAAATAAACGAGTGTGTGTGTGTCCGATGTCATTAGGTTCTATTAAGAGAGATGAGGCCGAGTTAAAGGGCTAGAGAGCCATGTGTTTGGGAGAAGGAGTCCATCTTAGTTGAAGCCATCAGAGAACACCTGATGAGGTGACATTGGAACAGAGCCCTAGTGAAATGAAGGAGTGAGCCATGTAGTGGCAAAAAACGTTCCAGAGAGAGAGGCAGAAAATGCAAAGACCCTGAGGTGAGAGTATGGCTGGTGTTTACAAAGAATAGAATGGAAACCAGAGGGAGAGGGGAAGGGGGAGGGTCTAGAGAGAGGTCTAGGGGTCTAGGGATGCCCTGGGGTCACATCACATGTGACCTTGTGAGTTCACAATGCCCCTTCCTTGAAGCCAGGATGAAGTCAGGATGGCAGAGAAAGTCCGCATCAGTCCGGGTATCAGACTCTTCTCAGAACAACCTTGACACCATCAATTCCTGGAGGCTTGTGATCCAGTCAAAATCTGCTCCAAATCTGCTTTTTTTCCTTGGGCAAGAGCCTTCACAGTGGTCCCTCTGTGCAATGGACAAATCAAGAGCTTCTAGGGCAAAAGGGTCATGTGACATGATATTGGTGAGAATGGGGAGGAGGGCATAGCAAAAAAGGGCTGGGGAGGACTGTTTTCATCCATGGAGACATGAACACCCAATGCCTCAGGAAAAAAAAAAGAAAGGGAAAAAACTGCTGCAAACATTAGTGACATCTCTGGCAAATCCTTCCTCCATGTTTATTAAGAAATAGCACCTGTTCAGTTAGTCAATTCTCGGTACTTACTGATCTTCCAGATCTGACTCCACAGCTCCCCACAACTGATCTATATGCAGCCTGAAGGAAAGGCCTCTAAAGCTACAAAAAATAACATCCCCAGATCCAGGACCCTTTAAGTGGCTGCCTCCCCTCAGGTTGTGCCTTGATCAACGTTGTCTGTCAGGGGGGGCAGGCTGAGCACATGGTTGAGTAGTGGGGATAGCCCACAGCACAACTAGCCCCAGGCCGAGTGTGGAAGCCACATTTCCAGGGAGAACAAGAGAACTTGAGTGTCTCGGAGAGGCTGATCAGAGGGGTGAAAAGTCCAGAAATCTATCTCAAATGAGAAATGAGTAAAGAAACTGGTCATGTTTAGCCCAGAACAAAAACTCAGAAGCATACCACAGGTCCTCAAATATGCGAAGGGCTATCACATAAGCCCAGACTGTGTCATGGGGCCCAATAGAGCATGTCACCAAGAGGCAGATATTGACTCATATGAGTAATAGGATCTTAAAACCGGAAGGAAATCTGTGGTTACTCAGTTCAAGTTTTTTTCATTTCTCAGATGGAAAGCAGAGGCCCAAAGAGATTGTTATTCCCCAAGAATTACATAATTAGTCAGTGGAAGAGTCAGGATTGGCTTTAGGTTATTTGAATCAGTCCAATTCCTTATACTGCACCACACTATCAGGGAAGAACTTTCTAACAAACGGAGAAACCCAAACGTGAACTAAGCAGCTTCAGTGAATGTGCTTAAACAGAAACCACCCCAGAGCAATATTACAGACTAGAGACTTTTCACACTAGGTAGGAAAATGCGTTAGGAATGACAAATATGTCTACCAGGGCCATGTCAGATATAGCTAATTAATTATAATACACTTTTCCCAGTGAGTCAAGATGCAACATTTAAGTTAGCCCTACCAATCTATTGCAAGTGGGAGCCTAGATAAAACTAATTGCCATTACTGCCCTCAACAATCCATAAGATCCTTTCAACATTGAGAACAAATTTTAAATTAAATAAAGAATGGCCAGCTGTGGTGGTTTGCACCTGCAGTCCCAGCTACTCAGAATGCTGAGGCAGGAGGATCACCTGAGCCCAGGAGTTTAAGACCAGCCTAGGCAACATAGTGAGACCATGTCTCTAAAATAATTCATTTAAAAAATAAAAGGAAGAATCAGTAAAGAGGGGGAAAGAGACCAATGAAAGGATTCTGCTAGGGTATCAGAAACTAGCCATGCCTTCTCTAAAGATTTATTCTAGCTTCCTTTCTTCTGCCATTTTTCACAGTATATTACTTGGGGAAAGTATCAGAATTGGAAATAAATTGATGAGAAGTAGTAATACCATTACCAGGGAACTACCAAAAAAAAAAAAAAAAGAAAAAGAAAACCCGTCAAATAAGTGAATTTAATACACCAGTATTAAATATTCATTAAAAATTTCACATTCTAGCAGGCACCTATAATCCTAGCACCTTAGGAGGCCAAGGTGGGAGAACTGCTTGAGCAGGATTTCAAGACCAACTTAGGAAAAATATAGAGACCTCATCTCTACAAAAAAATAATAATAATATTTTAAAAATTAGCACGGTGGCATGTGTCTGTAGTCCCAGCTACTTGGGAGGCTGAGGCAGAAGGAACACCTGAGCCCAACAAGTTGAGGCTGCAGACCGTGATCATGCCGCTGCAATCCAGCCTGGGCAACAGAGTGAAACCTCAACCCCCTCACACACACGCACACAAAATTCATGTTCTTTAGAATATGTAAGAATAATAGGAAAACACGTGTATCAGTCAAGATTCTTTGGAGGCAAGCAACAGAAACCAACTCGTTTTAATTAATGCAAAAGAAGGAATTTATTAGAAAGCTGTGAATAACTCAGAGAACCAAAAAAATGTTGACCAAGAAAGCCTTAGAAAGGGCAAAGCCAGGTAGCCTTAAGGATGCAGACCTCAGAGGCCCCCATGGAGTCATTCTGTTGAGTTTTCTGTTGCCCATTTGCTCACTCAAGATTTTCCCCACCTGCAGAGCTAGGTCGACCTAGCCGGAGTCAAGCACCCTCCTCTTTGCGGAATAAGGAGGAGTTAAAGAAATCTTGTCAGAAGCAATAGTTGATTAACAAAATAC